TCTAGATTTCAATGGATCAGATATTTGACTAGAAGCTTGGATTTGATTGGTTTGACTCAATGTATGAAATATGATTGGTTAGACTAAGTCTAATGTTGACTTAGTGGCTAAGAAGCTTGTAGAAGTTTTAAAGCTTCCAATGGCATCTCATCACTTCAACCTCGGATTTCGGAGACTTCTAGAAGGTTTAGTTATGTCAATGGCATGTTTGTACGTATAGTGGGTTAGTCAAATTTACTTAGGTAAAAGTAAGTTAGGAGAAATTACCACATGTTCCTTTAATAACTTCTCAAGTAGTATAAATAGAGAGGTAGAGTAGCACCTCTCAATCAAGTTTGGAGAGTTCATGTGTAGTGACTTGTTTCATATATGAAAGAGTGACAATTTTCAGTACCTTGGAGTGTCGATGTGTGAGTGAGTGTTTGGGCTATGAATGTGATGATGAATTCTAGTCTTCTAGAACCATGATGCGCTAGCGCAAAGCCATCAGAGGTGAACCTAAGTGAGAGTCAGCCCGGAGGTTGGAGTCCGCTCCCGTGACTTTCGTTGCTTTGTCTTGGCTTGCCATTTATAACGACAAGGAAGACAAAAGAGGAGGATGAGGGATAATTATCCTAAAGTGAAAGATAACTAGCTACTTATTTCTTCATTCATATTTTTCATCTTATATATCAAAACCTATCCAATTCATATGCTTTTAGTGCATCCTTGACTTCTCTTTTCCACAAGACATAAACCTTCACCCATCAAATTTAGAATGTCAAACTTGTATTTTTCAATCTTAAAAAATAACATGCTTACTTTTTTTTCCTTAGTCAGTCATTGAATGGTCGTTGACAACAACTTGCACATTATCAAATTAAGGTTTCTGAAAGCTTTGATAGATACTTTTGAAATCTCAATAGGTTTGTGATGACCAACAAGTTTTGCAAAAAGTGTTATATAGGTTCTTCTTCTTGTTAGTAAAAATCCTTGTATTTTTGGTGATTATGTACAACTAGAAATGATAATCAAGAAGTTTTACTCTATTTTCATAGCCAAAGTGAGTATAGAGTTAAACCTCCAAATAGTGTTATCTTTTAGTAGTGACATACTTTCAGTAGTAACATAGAACTCAATAACCATTAAATTTTGACTTGTAAATCTATCCAATAAGAAAGGTGTTGTCATTATTGGCAATAGTGACATGATACTATGTAATAGTGATGGTTTCAACTGTAATTTTCAAAAATAATTTGAATTTGATTCTTAATTGCTCTTACTTTAGCCGAACTTCCATTTTTTGGATTTTGCCTCCTGCTTGCCGCTAACATCACGTACCTTGCCTTGACTCCTCCTCGCTGTTCGAGGCCTTCCTTGCACTTGCTTGCCTGTCTTGTCTGCGCTTCCCCACACCCTTTTCTAGGGGAAACACAAGAAAAAACGGAATTGATGGTTCTATAATTTCAATTTATTAAAATTTATTTGTCCACATTATCCCACCATACAACTCCGTTCATTTTTATTTGTGTTACATTATTTGTATTTTGTTATCTTCACCAATTCCCATGTGAAAAAAGACACAAATCACTCTACAAATTTTTTCAACTCTGCTTGCTTACTTTTACCATTTATAACATTGATTTACCTTGTAGACCTCAGCTCTCCTTGCTCACTTTCGACAATATATAACTTTGTTTTACCTTTGCAACCTGACGTTACGCTTACTACAACCAATTCGGTATTTGAATTCAAAGACAAGTCGTCAAGAATGATACCATTTGTCAAATGATCTGCTAAACGTGCAATAAGAAGCATTCTTATTGCATGATATTCTTATTGCATTCTATATGATCCGCTAAATACTATCCAACCTCGTCTAAGTAACACCTCCCAATAGTGACGTGAAAACCTAGCACCAATATGTGTCACTATTGAAAGGTTAACTTTGTACAAGTTGTCTCCCTCTAAGGGCTCCTATACAAATCAACTAAGAGTTCCAAAATGATTACAAGTTAACTCATATGACAAAATTCCTAACTACGTCTGTAGTTAGACAACTCATATGAAATAGCTATAGTTATTCCAATGCATGAGTTAAACCCTATCATGAATAACTATGAATTTACAATTATTTTAGAAGTCATATTAAAAAAAATATTAAAAAAAACACAATTAACCTTTTTCTAAATTATTAAATTTTGGTTTAATTTAATTACTATTTTAAAATATTGAAATAAATTTTTTATCATAGATATATTAGATTTAATTTTATATCAATATAGAATACAACTGTAAATGTAGTTTTAATGATTGAATATGAATTTACAATTGTCTAGATTTCAAAGTAAAAAGAATTAAAAATTTGAAATTATTAATTGATATTTATTTCCATAAATGAAGTTTGAAGTATTTAAATTGAAATTTGAATTAGATTTAGATACTTGGTTTTTAAAAAGGATTAAATTTTTTTGACCATAATAGATTAATCTAAGAATATTTATTTTCATCAATCTAATTATATAGTTAATAATATTTCATGATATTTTAAACTGCAAGTCAAATTAATGATAAAACATAAAAAAATATGATAAATTTATTTTTACAGAATTATATTGCATTGAGTTTTGTGAGATTAATTTTGATTTAATTGATTTTAATTTTGTATCTTTCTTCATAATTGGTTGGAGTGTATTGTGAAACAAAATAAGATCAATAAATTAATCAAAATATATCTTTATAAAATACATGAGGATTTCAATAATCAGAAAGTGAGAATTATTTTTTTTCAAGTGTGGGATCAAAGTAGAAGAAGCAATATTGAAGCTAAAATAACATTTAATCTCAGACTCTTGAACTCAACTGTAAATAGGCTGGGATAAAGTAAAGGACAGCAAACTTTATCTATTTTGTTATCAAACTTAGTGTAAAGCAATGTTCATGCAACAAAATTACATTTTAGTAAATATCCATAGTGCTATCTATTTCACAACAATGGCTATTTACATGACTCATATAAAGAAGAACTATTTGTTTATTAGCATTAGACATGTGTTGTACATCATCTAACGTGAAAGCTTTTTAATGAATAGCAACACCCGGTGCAAGCTTTTTAATGTATAGCAAAACCTAGTGCTTTAAGCAATGTACAAATATCAACTCATTGATCAGTAATGTTCAGGCCTCTTCAAATATGGCATTTGTAGATGCTCGTGCCATATTTGTCATAAATAATTTTCGCATGATGCCATAAAAAAGATAAAAATCCGAGTTCAAATTTGCTCTTGTACACTACTGAAAAGTTGTTGTTGTTCTCTCTTGTACACTATTGACAGGTTATTGTTTATGAAATGTCATCAAAGAAGTGCAAAATGCCAATCTCTCACGAACTTGAGTGTGGACTAAAGATATTCACAGAGAAACATATACGTTTAGTATCATTACATAGGTATTGTGTCGCATTTGTCAAATATCAGGCCGTGAAAAAAAAGAGTAAGACAGAAGTGCAAGCAGGCTAGAACCACAAAATACTTTAAATTTTCTTATCGACCTTTCAACCACAAAATACTTAAATTTTCATATATTCACAGCATCTCAAAAGCCACCACTTGGCAAAATGAAATGAGTATCGTGCTCTGTAACTATTTTTGAACAAATTTTCTTTGAAACTATTGCTTTTGTGAATGCTATCCATGCTCATTTTGTTTGATCTAGTGATTAATTATATTTTGATATCATCGCAAAGTTGAGTATATCTCCATTGATAGGGCGAGAGAGTCGATACTCCGCAAATTAGGGGATCAAATGCAGGAATTGGTCAAATTTCATCAACCATAGATTATTTTTGAAACTCGATTTTACGATTTTTTTGCCATTGTATATCATTGGTGATTTCTCCGTGGTTAGTTGGAAAAAAGATGAGACAGATTGTCATCATCCATAGATTATTTTTGAAACTCGATTTTAAGAAAATTTTTGCCATTGTATATCATTGGTGATTTCTCCGTGGTTAGTTGGAAGAAAGATGAGACAGATTGTTCTTAACAGATTTGGCATTCAAGTACATAATGCATTGTTAGCAGTTCAAATAAATTCAACCAAATTAAAACTGTCTTAATATTTGTTATAAGTAAAATTGAATGATTTATGACAAATTTGGCAATTGCCAGACAGATTGTCCTTAACAGATTTGGCATTCAAGTACATAATGCATTGTTAGCAATTCAAATAATTTCAACCAAATTAAAACTGTCTTATAAGCAAAATTGAATGATTTATGACAAATTTGGCAATTGCCAAGTAAACATAGGCATGCTAATGTTAGATTCAAGGAGAAAACATAACACCATTAGACATAATATGATTGATTCTTGGTCACGTTATATTATAACTCATGAAGTACATTTGTACAAGTGTAGTACATAAATTATACATTTATTGTCTATCTAGTTACTCGAAGTACACAATACAATATACATAAAGTTGTAAGTTGATTGACCATGATTATCAATCAGCTTAGAGTATTAGTAAGTTATCATACCGGATGTCTTGGATAACTAGTAGGCGTAGACGAGGGAGAAGGATCGAAAGGCCTTCCAGAATACAATGAATATATGTCTCTTTTCCACGCCAGTTAGACCAAGAGGAGTCCGGGTGTAATGCAATGTATGTACATTACAAGAGTCTAAAAGAACGTACCAAATAGTGAGAAAGTGCGAAACATCTTTCAATATACACAACTCTCCGCAACATGTACAAAAGACGTGGCATAAGAAGATTCTGAGATGCAAAAAGAAGCAGAAAACATGTGTACAATATACAGTAGCAAAAACACAACTGTCAGAGAAAACAAGAAACACATGAAGAAACAAGTATATAACCCAGTTGGTCCTTCGTTTCCACAATCAACCGCTCCAGTGATAAGAAGCACTTCTTGAAAAGTGTATGCAGGAACGCCTAACCATACAATTCAAACTCAACAACTATCACGCTAACTCTCGCTTACATCGCTTTGACTTACGAAGCTGTAATTCGATTGAATAAATTTCTCTTTACCTTTCAGTCACATGCCTATGGTGCGGGGCTGAGGGGTGTAGATGGCCACCACACTCAATATACAGTTGGAAAAATTTGCACCAGTCTATACCCGATCCGTTCAATGTTTGCTAAAGCTACAAATGGTACACGCGGGCTTCAAAGATGCCCAATCGGTGTCCACCTCCCACAAAATTTCTTGGCTAGCACAAGATGCAACTAACCATCCCACCCTTCCCGCGGTAGGAACGTCGTATAAAAGTGAGAACGCTTCATCAAGTCTCTCCCTGCTGCGAGGATCAGGGGAACATGTGAACTGTACAAAAGAATCATCGTACATTCACACTTCCATTCTAGGCTTCACAAAACCCTATCCATCCTCATGAAGTCTATCTGGGTGTGGTGATGTACTACCAGAACTCATCAACACTGATTTCACCTTATCTAACATGAGTTTCTGCATCGCAGTAATTACCTATACCTGCAATTAAGACTAGACCCCAAGCCTAGATCCTTGGTGACAATTGATGTGCAGTGCTTCTCTCCATGAACGGAAAAACACAGTACAAAAATCCATGGCTTCCTTGTAAGCACATATATCTAGACTAGGGCAGCAAAATTGTCGTTATTGGAAGTAAAAGCTTCGAGGAAAGCAAGGCGCCAATGCTTGCCACTAGAGGCTTTGTGTGTCTGAAGAACTCTACAAACACTAGCGTAAATTTTCTCCAGCTGTGCGACACCATAACCTTCTGTGACATCTGTCAGCTTTCTTTTGACATCCTCGACTTGCTGATGAAACTTATCATCTTTCACCGATTCCACGTTCGTCGAGTCCTCAAAAGCTTCCACCGCCTTCGGTGAATCTGCGTCTGGCAAGATCGAGGGGTCTGATCCTCTATCTTCTACGGGGTCGCTCACGGCCACAGGAGATCCTTTTCCAGGACTGTCTTTTTTGGTCGTGGCAACAGGTGGTTCATCCTTTCCCTGTTCATCGATGACAGCTGCATGCGCGTCTCCAGCACCTCCTTCATCGCTGTCCTTCGCCGTCTGCTCCGAGGTCGCTGCACCGTCTGGAGGTACAACAGACCCCATCACTGCTTCACCTGCATTCGCTGTACAATCTTCAGCACACCGTACTCGCAAGAAAGTCAATCATCTCGAAATTATGAAAGAAAACACACTGGCTACTTCGAATGAAAGTGAAGGCACCACCCATACCTTAGTAAGAACGAAAGAGAAACTGGGTAACAAGACATTAAGACAAGAACACTGGTAAAACCCTTCTCAATGACATAATAACCTTAATAACACTGAAAGTGATTGTGACGAGAAAGATGAGCCTGTACTAACCCGCCGCACCGCCATCAGAATTTCTCTTGGACTTTCGACTTTCAGAAGGCTTGGGAACATCAACAGCCACAGCAGGCTGAAAACCCCTCAGTCGAGCGCTTGCTCGTGTCACAAAAGCGGGTGGCGCAACAACAGGACTTGGAGGAGCTTCAATAACACACACCGGGGGTCGAACTGGGCCCCCTCGTGATGCAATAGCATCACAAAATATCACAAGTCCAGGATCCAGCTGCGCTAGCATGCCATGTACCTGGATGAACAGAGATTGCTCATTACAAAATGCTGGAAGAATGTACTCATCAACGGGAAAAGTAACATGCGACATAGGAGGTTATGTCCGAAAAGATCTGTAGAATTCATAAATTCTGAAAAGAAGAGAAGTCAAGGTTACAAAGGAACTACGACGATTTGAAATACATAAATCAGGCTTTCAAAATTAGTTCCCACCTAAAAATATCTAGTGCAAGGGTTGCAAAGTTAACAGAAGAAAAACAGTATGCTAACGATTGTTGTCAACGTTCATATCCATGACCTACGAAAACTATCGTTTTGGAGGAGCTTCTAGTGGACAGAGCTGACTTACAGCATCGCGAAGAGCACATGCCTTGCTGACTATCCGCGCTCCTTGGTAATCATCTCCATTATACACCTGGATCAAGAATCACGTGAAGTTCAGCTTGAGGTGCAGGAATAATTAAGTGAGATGCCCCTGAAAAGTTTGTGCTAAAGGAAACACCGTCTCAGCTCAACATTTCCGACACACGCAAAGAGAACTACGACAGATGCACCTACTGTAGACTGATATAAATGTATCCCTAGTCTAGGACCTCTACCTTAGCGTTGGCAGGAATCAGTTCGACATCATCCAGAAACGCTGCGCGGGTGATATATTTTCCACTGTCTACACCCTGAAGCAACGTGGTCACATCCATTGGTTTCTTCACTACTGTATGATAGTCAGGAGCATCATCCTCCATAACTGGATAGTGAAATATGCTGAATCGTTTTTCGTAGAGAAGCCTACAAGACAGCAACATAATAACCGACGCTTTTTTGAGTTATGCAGTAAATAATCTGAGGTGAACCCTGCCAAGTCCCAGCACGCGTATGGTTTGGAAGACATAATTGACAAGTGATACGCAAGAGATTGCGCAAGCAAAGATTTCTCTGAGGGTGTTAGACTCAGGAAGTAAGCATCGAATAGAACATGAACTTAATGATAAGCTTTACTGTGCGCATGATTTTCAATGCAGACCACGTAGTCAGCGAAAGTAGCTTACAGTGCCAAACAAATGGTAACCAAGAGCTTGCGTACACTTGGTTGACAACGTCATTCATCCCCACAAACCACAAACTCTAAAATCTCATCAGGATCCTCGAATAAATTGTCTGGTACCTGTTGCAAACATCTCGAAGACACATCCTCAATTTCCTCAGAGCATGATCTTCCAAGTCCGCTTGCTCTTTCAACTCTGCCTCACTAGGTCCCCGCTCAACTCGAGGTGCCTTGGGGAGTTCCGGTAGAACTTCTTTAGCTTTCTCCACTTTTGAGCATTTGTCAATGGGAACAGCCAAGACTGCATCAATCATTCTTGTAAAAAATGCAGCACGTTCCTCTGTATTAGGGCAGACGACTTCATCCCTGCAAGCAAAGATGACAGGCAGACAGGCACAACATGAGCAGATGGATGAGAGGAGGATTTTGGTAGATTAGACGAGCTGGTAAAGATCGGGAAAAAGGTAGAAGTTAGCCGACTCACAAATTTGTTCCGAATATACTGACTGCATCTGGATCGATTTCATCCAGAGAACCTGCACAAGTCCCCAGAAGTAGGACAGGAAGATCTGATGGCAAGTCGGCAAGGAGCATCAGAAGAACTGCTCGCAGTTGATCATGTGCCTGCACAATCCAGCATAGTAAAGATGTTCAATATAAACCGATTGTCCCATAAGACTTTAAACCTTCACAAAAATTACAGGAAATATTAAAAGTAAAGAACTGTAAATATCTGCTGCTGATATAATATTTATCTCGTTTCTAACGAGATAAATACGCAAGGAACTTGACAGAGGAGAAGATAAAAGAGTAAACAAAGAACCAAGAGAGAGTAGCAACGCTTCTAGCAAAAAGTTCATTAGCTGCAAGTAAAACTCCAATATGTATATTCTACGAATCAGTATCAACAAGGGCCGAGGAAACAGTAAGATACAGTGTTCTTGAAAATGAGGCGTGCACTAGCTGGACGGATCAGCGTTGATTGTAGCTTACCGTTTCCCACCAAAGCTGTAGCTGTGGCAAGAAAAGTACGGATGGAGTAGTTCTTCGGGCTTCCCCAAAAATGTGTACGAGAGCCTCCTCGGGACTCTTCGCACTAGGATCGGACAGGAGCGATGGAAGTCCAAGCGAATGGACAGGAAACCTTTCCAATCTGTGTAACACGGCCGGGGCAAGATGCTCCTGCACAGGAATGGGTATACTTATTAGCATGATAGAATCCCCAAGGCCCCTTACAACCACTACCCAGGAGACCATACATCCCCGGAGCTAGCTGAGCTGTGCCAATAAGAAGGAACGGGGTAGCAGAAAGAGAGGAGTTTGAATAAGGAGACATAGGAGACAAGAGCCGATGATCCTTCGAGTTATCGCACTTCCCATTACTGAAGCTTCAGGTTTCCTTGTCCAATTCTCAAAAAAATTGGCCCAGCTTGCATGTCCTCTAACATGATAGACTGAACAGATCAGAAAGAAAATTACCAGGCCAGATCCGTCATATCCCCACAGCAAAAGCCTTGGTTTGTACACGTAAGGAATAGATGATCCGAACTGGAATCCGAACAACCTAGCCAACTGCTCAGGACTCTCATCGTCGTCGTCATAATCTTCCAGATCCGACTTCTCGACATGCATAACAGGGAAAACTTCTATGAGGCGCCTCAACACACGTTCTAACTGGACCTCGAGTACAGGAGTAACAACAGTGGAAAGAGGCCTGCCGTGCACAACAGCTCCCCTATGAGCAGCGGGGGTTATTGCCGACATCGCTTCCCAGAAGTCTCGCCTTCCAACTTCCACTGAGTCTACATCTATCACAAACTGCTCATCACTCTTGTAAACTTGAGGATATTTCTTCCTAAAAGCCCTGATTGCTGCCTCTGTACATAGAGCTCTCAAATCCGCCCCGCAATAGCCTACACAAGACGCTGCAAGTTCCTTGCGTAGACTTTCTTCTGGAGGTTTCTGCCACTTCTTTGTATGGATGTCAAGTATCTCGGCTCTGGCTTCTGAGTTGGGCAAAGGAAACATAAACTCTCTGTCAAAACGACCAGGCCGCCTAAGAGCTCCGTCTATGGCGTCAACTCTGTTGGTCGCTCCAATAACCACTACCTGACCACGAGAATCCAGGCCATCCATCAAAGCGAGTAAGGTAGACACGATGGAATTGTGAATTTGCTCCTGTTTGCTCGATCGCACCGGTGCAAGACCATCAATCTCATCAAAGAAAATAATAGAGGGCTGACAACGTTGAGCCTCTTCAAACAGTAACTTGAGCTGTCGTTCTGCTTCCCCGACCCACTTGCTAAGCACATCTGCACCCTTCCGCATATAAAAGTTCACTTTCTGCCCTGCCCTCGTGGCCGCACTGGCCAAAGCCCTTGCTACTAAAGTCTTTCCCGTTCCAGGAGGACCGCACAGTAGAACACCCCTGGGTGGAGTGATGTGGTAGTTGGCAAAGAAGTTTGGGTAAAGCAAAGGGAAGAAAACCATCTCCTTCAGAGAATCGATGTACTTGGACAAACCCCCAATCTGATCAAAACCTACAGAATTATCAACCTGCACAGGTTGAATATCAGCTCCACCTTTGGAACTAGGTCCGGCAGTTTGTGCGCCTGCACCCGTTGCACTGGCATGTCCCCAGGGCTCGGATTGGTGGCCCCAGGCACTGGTTGTGGGATTGCCAGCCCATCCGGTAGAAGCATGTGTATCTAAGCCAGAAGGAAGCCAAGGGATGCTACCCGCAGAGCGGACTCCTCTAGCCCAGGGCGCAACTGCTCCTTGGTCAGCCGCCATTTCGTCGACAAGCAGAGAGTCGTCGGAGTCATCGTTCCTCATCGATCGGTGCCGCTTGTAGGCTCGTGCTGCGGAGCGGCGCCCTTCACGGGCTCTCTTTCCGTTGCCATTCGCGTTACCATTGCCGCTCCCACCTTGGAAAAGCTTTCTTGGAGATCGTGGTCGAGCAGCGGCCCTGTTCTCTTCCCTACGAGGAGAAAACCTCTGCACTTCGGTACGATTGCGCAATGCGTAGCGCCGTCTGCCCTCACGCTCGGCCGACTCTTCGTCCTCTTCTTCCTCTTCACCATCATCACCCTCTTCGCCTTCATCTCCAGCTCCTCCATCTTCACCGTCTTCACCCTCTTCTGCCTCATTTCCAGTGGACGAATTTGGTTCGTCTTCCTCAAACTCTTGTGAGGAGTCCTGCCTTGTCGGTCTCAGCTTCTGCCGGGGCCTGAGCCCCTCCCGCCGTGGAGCAGGACCCGCATCTCCATTCTTCTTATCAGAACCTGTTGGACTTCCCTCCTCTTCTCGGGGTGCGGGAGCCTCGGCCTTTGAATTCTTCGACGATCGGAAAGCATGCAACTGGACAAAGAATCCCGGTTAGAAACGTATCAGCACAAGACATCCACCAGGTGAAGCAAATGACAGTTCAAACGATATAAATGACATGAATATGCCTGAAGTTGTCCTCACCACAAGGTGCAGAGAGTAAAAGAGCAACAAGAACCATATCAAAGAAGGTAGAGACCCACGCCCTAGAGCAAAAGGTCCGTGTAAGGACGAATGAATACATTACACCAGCGTAACGATGTCAACCATATCGGAAAAGAAGTACATATAAATTAAAACCGACCTAGAATGAACGGACTTCGTCAAACAACTGACTGAGAGCAACCGCATCATAGGTAATGACATCTCCCTATTGTTGAAGGAAAGGAGAGGTCCACTGAGACATGGAGAAAAGTTCAAAACGATAAGTATAAGAGAGAGCCTAACGAGTACCCTTGTGGGAAGCAACGTACCCTCAGATCCTCCTCATCCGCATCGGTGTTTTCTGAATCATAACCAAGACCAACAGATATCCGCCTTTTCCTCGTCGATCGACGCAAAGTACTTGCCGCAACAGGCTGGATCACGCACCAACCAGAATCCTCAGTTCCAAAACTCAATCAATTGATGAGAAAGAACTATCATCCAATGGCCCAAAAGTTCTAGACCCTAGAATGGTCAACCAACTCGCCATCAAAACTTCAAGCTTATGCAATTGATTAACCATAGGTCTGACTCGTACTTGCTTCATTGAGAACCGCGCTTCAAAAACTAAACAGGTGAGAAGACGTTAGGAATAGGATGAATGAATATCCGCCAAGAAACCTCCCCACCTGACTCAGAGAGTGTCCCTGTTGCCCTGATTTCTGCGCAGGCTGCCCAAAGAAGAAAAAATATCAGCAGAGGTAGCTAAAATCGTTCTCCAACCATTGCACCCACTTCAGCAATTTAGAACATCGTGGAGATTTTGAAAGCGAGTCTTTCACCCAATATGATCTATCTTACGAAACTGCAATTGGACAGATTCTTTATAGAAATTCCTCCAACCTCCAAACCTCACTCAGCGCAAAGGTAGAAAATCAAACCTGCAATCCAACAACGAGAACCTTGACTACATTAAATCTAAAGCGCCAATCCACTATCTACAGAAAATCCACCCTTCCACCACAGCAATGTACCCAACAAAACTGGACAAGTAGAAGCTCTAAAATCCAGCCGATCACTGACCCGCCCACCGAGTCATATCAAAGAATCGATTCACACTTGATAGCCCGGGACTTCCAGGTGTACACGAGATCAGCTCAGTGACCACTCATAAACTTGATCAAGAACTCCGTAATCACAGGTATATAATCCCCAGCGCATAATTGATTCTCAACCGTGTGAAATCACCAAAATCCGCTGTCGTATCGGCATCCGAACCCAAGACTACCCAGAAATCCCCCTCAACAGAGACGTCACTTCCCTCCCCACCTCTCCCCGCCCTTCACCTGCCGACTAGTCGACTCTGACTCCACTCATTGGAGAAAAACGTACCGTGGTCACGGAGTCAGGATCTGCGGCAGAAGAAATAACAGCGGGTTTGCCCTTCAGGTGCGGACGCTGCATTTTAGCAGCAATCCGCGATGCCGCCAGTCGCTTTGGCGCGTCGTTGTTCGAGTTCTTGGGCCGCAGATAGCGAGAGAAGCGAGGCAAAGGAGAGTGATGGGAACTTCGACGATAAAGCGTTCTCCTGCGCGGTGCACTACCTCTCATGGCTCGCCCCTCCCCACGGTCCCCACTCCTCTTCCTCCTCCTCCTCTTCGCCCACCACCACCACTACCACCGTGTCCTCCTCCTCTTTCTTCTTCTTCTTCACCTTCTCCGTCACCATCGCCAGTGTTGCTCGCAGCAGCAGATGCAGCAGCAGCCGTAGTGGTCGCAGTAGCCTCCCTCCCTCCCTCCCTCCGCTGCGACGCGATGCGATGCGTTGCTCGCTCGCTCGCTCGCTCGCTCAACCCTACCCTACCCCACTGGTTGGGCTGGGCAGCTTTCCTTCACCAGGGTTCAACTCACCCTCCGCGGCCAGATTCCTCAACATTAATAACGCTTTTCTTCGTTAAAAACCACACCTTTTATCTCCTTCCTGCTAACGCCTCTGTTATCTCGACCTTTTCCCGCATTTTCCCCAGACCGTTTCCAGCTATTTTCTTACACATTTCTCTGCCCTCCCTTAGACCATCCCGCGCTCCGGCTTTTCCGTTGCCACCCAGCCACGAATAATACCCAACACAAAATTTGCAGTGCTCGTGTAGGCTCCCAGATATATCAGGGCCTACAAATCAAAAGGGGCCCTCTTCCGTGTGTTCACAAAGTGGCGGTAATAATAGAAATAAAAAATTGTACGCATGTGTGTCAAGTAGCGGGATTTGCCCCCTATGTCAGCAAATGCTAATGACGATAGACAACAGGAACTTGAAGAAAAGTAATGATGGAAATTTAGCACGTGATTAGGAGGAGGAGGGGGGTGGGGGGCGGGCTCATTTTTTCGGGGTCTCTTCACTTGTAGGCTTTCTGATGCTTTGCAAACTTGAGCTAACAACCAAAGAGGATTTATGCACGTGTTTCATGTAATTTAAAATAGAAATTCCCACCCTGTGAAATAGGGCACAGGGCTTCGGACCTTGTCCTATGAATCTGGATTTCCACCCATACACCATCGTCTATCTTTGCTAAATTGCCATTCTCTCTTCCTCTTCCATTCCCCCTTCTTTTCTGGGTCCAACAACTGCTACTATACGAAGCACTCTCTTCTGGCTTTCAACCTCTTCTTCACTGAATGCTTTGAGCTACGATCAAATGTGTTCTTCTCTTTTTCCATCCCCTTACGACGATGCATGTGAACCTGCTTGCTAAAACCTGTTTCCATGTCCTAACCTGCAGTTCCTCCTCTTTCTGATTCACTCTACATTTTCCTTATGGCTTTTAGCCACCGGGTAACAGCTAGCATTTCGAGGAGGCACACACCAAGCTAAGTTTAGGTGTGATGGAGGTTGGATTTGTCCACAATGTGCCAACAGAGTAGAGCAGAAGATTTACCCTTGGCATTATAGCAAACTGTGGCTTCTTCTATAAACTAGTTGTGTTCAGGCTCAGAATCTGAACGTAGAGATGCACGACATGTGTAATGGAACTGGCTTGCAGATGTTACAAAGCTTAGTTGAATGAAAGCCAAGTTGCTCCACGATACCAGCAGAGTGCATGTTTGGAGGAGTGTACTAGGGAGCTTATCCTGACTTCATTGTCTTCCTTTATCATTTGTATCATAGTAATACAAAGGAATGCATTATGGACAAATATTTGTTCTCCTTGCTGGTTCTATTTCTGCAACTCATTTTTTGGAATGACATATAAAAAAGAGTAATCTAAAAGTAATGACAGTACTTCCAGATTTTTTTCCTACGCTTTGCTGCTTATTTCTTTTTCAGCCCTAGTCCATAACTCTGATAAAAGTAAGAAATAATTGCAATATCATGAAAAATGGGTGCCAGTTTCCAATTTTATTGGTTTGTGAATTGAAACATTATAAAGCCATTCATCTCTAAATACGTATTAGTAAACACTAATGCTACAAATCATTTTTAACAATCCTCTTCAACGGTATACAATATTAAAAGAGAAAGAAATCGCTTGAATATTAAACTTCACCATGATTGTATCTTAAATTTTCTGAGATAAATCAAAAAAATTTACATGTATTTAGCAGAGTCTAAAAGTTAGTTTTCAGATATTTATTTTAATGATCTTCAAAAAAAAATCGTTAATGTTTCTTGTATTAAATGCACATAGACTACAATGAAACTTTCATACTATTATACCAATAATCCTGGATCATATGTTCTATTCATGTACACGTGTGTCCATTTGATTTTTATCGTACAAAATTATCGTTGAATGGATAAATAGTTGAAAAATGAATGAGAAAAAATCTTTAAAGAGAAATGTATCTATCAAACTTTACAATGATCCTATATATTTATTGCTTCCATAAATTTTACGAAAAAATCATGTGGTTGTAAAGTTTTTAAGAAACATTATAACTATCAAAACATTGATAGTTATTATTGAAAGAATTTCTGAATAAAAATTTTACAAATTTACAAAAATTTTCTTGATTCAGTTGATGGTGGAACTTCACAGCAGTGAAAAATTGAAAAATTGAAATTTCATGATAAATTTTATTTTTTTAAAGTCTATGTAAATTTTTCCTGATAAATTAATTTAGTTTAGGTTAGTATTTAAATTTAATTTTATTTAATCAAATAATTAAATAAATTAGTTATTGCATTATGGTGATGGATCAAATTCAACAACAATCTATTAATGATGAAAAATTTATGTATTCAAATCTGAGAGAGTGGTATTCTATGAAAATTGCAGTGTCACATGAACTAAATATACATTAAAAGTAGTCTGATTTGTGTAATACGCCTCAGAAACTAAATATATCATATGGATTTTTTTATCAATATAACTGGTTAAAAATTATATATAGTAGACAAGAATATCATAAATGAAAGTATAAGAAAAAAATGTGTTATATGATCTTGCAAAAATGGTTATTCAATTATCTAGAGTTGACAAGATAGATAAATTGATTTATCTATCTTGTTAAGTATTTAGCAAGATAAACTGAATTTTTTTCATGTGTTTATGTTTTGACTGTGTAATATTCAAAAAAATATTTTTCATAAATAATGTCTGATTTCCTTAGTTACATGATTACAAATGAATTAACATTGGAGAATATGTTAAGTAGTGTATAGATGTACGTCAATTCTATCTAGACTTAGATATAAGTGATTTTTTATTTTTTTATCTAATCTCTAAGCTTATACAAGACTTCAATCTTAATTTTGTTTTTTCATGATTTTGTTCCTGTTTTCTAATCAATCTTCAATGAATTATCTATCGAAACATATATATATAGCCTACCTCGAGTTTACTGCAAATAGAGCAGCAACAGTCAAGTACAAAAATTTGCAGAGAGGTTTTTTGGTCATGCTTGATGAGAATTACAAGCAATGGAGTTCTACATATGTATGAGAACGTGTGACGGCGCCCACCATGCTAAGCAGCTCGGGTGTCACTCTCTGTATGCTATTGTTAATTAAGTTGTTTTCTTTGCTTCCGAATCACTGGGTAACTATATATAGAAAATCAAATCATGTGTTGTGCTTTTTGAAAAACCTTCATAGTAAAGGTATATTAGCATATACCTTAACCTCTACCTACCATAATGTAATATATATCTTACACTGTGTTACTATTTGTAGAGTGTTAACGACTAGGTAATTTTTCATCCTTGCAAGCTTGACTGGGTATTCCCATCTTCTTTGCTATTTACCTGGCCCCTCCGAGACTACAGCAGTTTGGTGCAAGTCATACAAGCAATTCTTCGGTGTGAAGCATGTACGTAGAACAAAATTACATGTGCATGAGATCTTGCTAAACACTTGTGACAAATCTGACCAAGCTAAATAAGTGTGATGGAAGATCTTCATGTATGGCATTGAAAGATGTTATACGACAAAAACGAAAATAAAGAAAGATGGCGATGGCCGGAGCCTTCTCCGGCCATCGCCATTGGTCAACAAACTGTTTGCGATTAGTGACAACGACAGAATTAGACGTGATTTGATTCCTTGTTGGCTCATCTTTATTCGAGCAGATGGAGAAGTTCACGTCCTATCATAATTTCTCCCGGTCCGTTAATTCGATTGAATTTCGATAACGACTCTGAATTTACATTTCTCGCTCCGTCTGCTTCTTACCCGTCTCACTGTCGATGGATAATGGTATGCCGTGTACGCCACTTCCTGTAGACTTCATGACCTCGAGACTCGAAGGGGTCAGGAACACTGGCACTTGACAAATCGCGATGGAAGGGGCTTCCCACCACTAAACCGTGACGATGACATCACCGATCTGAGTACTGATCTGGCGTGGGATCGGTTTGTGCAACGATCCATTCCATAGCAGTACGAAGGATGCGCGCGCAGGAGAAAATCACAACATACAATCACAGTATTCATGCGATCTGCGCAGCTTTTTCAGAAAGTACAGGATTGCAGAGTGAGTACAGGGCCGCACTATGAGTGTGGGCGGACGGCAAACCGGAAGGAGACGAGACGGCGCGCCACAAGGTTCTGACTGGTTCCTTCTCGGGGCTGCGAGGAGCTTTGGAATGCGTCGTCCTGCCTCCTCAGCATGAGCACTTTGAGCAGCTCTTCGTCTTCGTCTTACTTTGATGTTTCTCTGCACTCAATCACGCCGTTCATGACTTCCGTACCTCGTAGTCGAAAGGGGCCTGCCGTTGGTTTTCGCTCGGCATTTTCATCTTCGTAGGGGTCCAGAGAGGTCGTAGATTTCGGGTAAGGTCTGAGGTCAAGCTGGAGTTGTTCTTGACAGTCAGATCGATAGCTTGGTCTTGTTGTATACCGGTGGCGTAGTCCTGGTCCCCTTCACGAGTGTGACTGGTGAGAGGATATGAACATGAACACCAGGTTGCCGAGCTTGAAGCTGCGGAGGTGTTCGTGGGTAGGCAAAAAATCATGAATCACAAGACCTTCACACGTTGCGCTGGGTCGAACTCGAGCTTCTGCTTTCAACCGGGTGTAAGAAAGGTTAACACGAGTCGATGATCGATGCCGGTAGGAGAGGAAAAGCTTGAAAATGTTGCAAAGATCAAAGATTCTCCTGCGGAATCACACAAAGGCTTGCTGACGGTCGGTAGTGCACGGTAATCGAGACATTTATTCATTGGCCCGACCGTAGTCATTGGATTGGATCGATTTGTACACGATCGACATGGCAAGGGATTTGTCCGCTGGAATCTCTAACATTCGCAATTGTCGAGCTCATGACCAAACTGTCGCTTCCAGGGAACCAGTTGATGGGAATCATGGCTCGAGGAAAGCGTGAGATGGTTTGTGCCCTGAACGAAACCTCGAATCGCGTTGTCTGCAAATTGCTGCGAGATCTCTATCTTGGGGTTTGCGTATCTGGCTGATGCTATCTCACATGCGGCTTCTTTTCTAACTCCTCGATCGGTGATGTATTGAGGGTCTCTGGAATGGGTGTAGGACAAGATCACTTCAGTCTCGTCCTCGTCGTCGTCCATGTCCTAGCTGTATAACACGGCGCAAACTTGCTTGACGACTTTCTTGATGGGAATGCGATCACCCTTCCTAATCAGCACTTGAAAATTGCTTAAATTGCACCCTTGAACTAGCTCATGACTCCTACGATGAATCCGAAGGAAACTGCGTCATTCAGTACAGGAGCTCCCGGACAGGGAGGGACTACAATATTCTTGACACGGTTCTCGAAATTGCTCCTGATCCTCCTGCAGAGAGGGCGAGTTGTAGAAGCTGCCGACTGCTGGAATGGCATCCAGGGTCTCGGTCATATGCTCCTCGATCAGATCCAGGACCTCGTCAGCCACTGGATCTAATGTGCTTCTCAGCGTGCCGGAGTTGATCTGCACATCAGGAGATTTGGAATCTCGTACGGAGTTGCTATCTTTTCCCCAGCGATTGGCCACTGCGGGTAGCAAAGGAAGCGTGAAGCTGGTCACGTCGCTGTCGTAGCTGGCTTTGATAATCCTACAACATCGAATGATCTCTAAAACCTTAGCGAGGTAGGTAGCTACGAATCATCTGAAACAGCTGATCCTCTTCCGCTGTCTGAAAGTGGAAGATGGCTTCGTCCACGTGACATCGTCCGACAGATGGCAGCCCCCTGACCTCGCTGACTTCGATAGCGGATCTGGTGGCGTGCCGACTTTCGCATACACCACCATATCCACGGTTCCACCTCCGCCATCAACCATGAGATGCCTCTGTCCGTTGCAAAACTCTTCGACGGTTAGCGTCTGGTGGCAGTCGACGCTGGGCTGCCTCTGGTTCGACGACGATGACGAGGTCGTGACAGCTCGCCTGCTCACCGTGGCACAGCGTTCTCTGCACCAATCCTGCTGCTTCAGCGCATTCCTTCATAACTCTGAACAATTGCTCGCACGTATTTCACCAAACGCTCACTCTGGTCTACTAGCAATCTCGTTCACTTCCTTTGTTGTGAGACGCTAATAGACGACATTAGACGAGACGAGACGAGATGAGTAAGCTTTGAAAGGAGGTACCTTGCTTTTATGCGATTTGCAAGTTCAGAATCTCAGCAGCTTCGGCAGAAGCCTTGTCGAAGGGCCGATGTCGAATCCACTTGTCACTCGATGAGACCTCAAATTAGTGAACAGCCGAAGCAGGCGTTTATGAGATTACAGGCCGTGCAGGCAGCAAAGCCTGAGAAATGGAATAACGACAAGACGATATGCGATTATTCGACGAGAAATCAGGGCACAGGGAACAGCACTATGTCGGTCTTATGTTCATCTGGTAAACAGATCTGCAAGCTCACATGCGAAATGGAGTTTTTCTGGCAATCGTCATGGGCTCATTTGTTGGGTCCCTTCATGCTCCTAACATCGAGTTCTTAGTATTTCTCCGAGACTGCTGCTGCTGATCAGAATTCTTTCTTCATCTCGCATTTGAAGGCTGTCAACTGTGTCGCATCTTCTTCTTCACTCTCGTACAGCCTTGTAAAGTAACCGCAACATACATCCAATATTGGGAGCCCATTTCGTGAAACGCTTAATGTTCGTGACGTTTGGTGGGTTTCCCTTGGTTTCAGAAAAGCTAGAAAGGTCATCTGCTCTGCCGATGATCTAGACGCCTCAGGGACTAAAATCAGAATTTCATGTTGGCCCGCCGCACTCTCCGACATTTTAGAACAGCAAGTGGGAAGTGTCAGCAAGACAGCTCGAGGAGTCGGATTGCTCGCGCTGAGTATTTGAGCAAGACTGCTTCCGATTACTTTAGAGCTGACCAGAGTTTTCTCAGGACGACGTTCGAGGTTCTGCCAAACTAACACTCGCTTTGCATGAGAGTGCGGCTGACACCCTCATCCACGTCCACCAGAGCAATGCAAACCCATATAGCTGCACACTGTGAAAGCGTGTGTTACCTGTCAGACTGTAGGCGTCTGCTCGGTCCTATGAAACTGCTGCTCAAAATACTCCTCTGGTCAGCAATCATAATTCACTCTATCCTGTCTACTGAATGCGCTGTCGAATCCGTGATATATCTTGAGGCCATGCGCAAAAACGGGTGCGTTGGCAAAAATGGGACCATCTTTCGATAAGATATAACTTCCAAAACTTAGTCTTCTACCGAGTACATTACCACTTCATTACAAACTAGTATTGAGTCTCAATCAGCTCAAGTATTCCAAACCATTTCAGCATGTTTAGACGCCAAATTGGCGGCTTCGTTAATCTTAAGTTTGGTTCTGAGCCAAGAGTTGGTCGGGGCCGATTCATTGCTTATCCTTTTCTTCTTCTCAAACCTTTGAATGTACGGGTCACTACTTTGGAAAACAATAGTTTATTGACATCGTTGGTAATTGCAGTTTCGACGTGTAGAGTACTCTGTTCTGGGAAGAACTCCTTGAGCTGGACGCGAAGGGGATTAGCTTAATTCTTTGCTAGCCTTTCTCAAGAGGAGGCGATCTATTGAGTGAGATTTCCGAGTTCTCATACCCACCCTCGCCTTGGCTAACTGCTTGTTGCATGGGACGCTCTCATTCCATATCCATTTCCATCACCATCGCCAGCTCTCTGTTCACTGCTTCCCCCGGCGCGATGCAGACAAACGTCAATCATCATATGTACAGCATTGTGGAGCCTGTCCAGTAGCGAGCTCTAAAATTATCCTCCACATCTACTGCCCGACGAATCCGTGTGATCTGCTCTCCCTGGTCTACGTACATGCAGGGCTTCTGAGGTGTCAGTCGAAGACAGAGAAAGACAGACTCCTGAAGATTTTCATATGATCTCCGATGAGTGTGTTGCCGACATGACTGGTAACGCCAGTTTGGTCCCAAAGGAAAAAGACCTCAATAAGTTCCATGGGGATGGGATGGGGTTCAGAGGAAAAGCGCGCGCATCAATCTTCCCAAAAGTTCGGAACGAGCTTGGGCTTTTTCATCATAAAGCTGGAAATTCAGAAGAACGTAAACGTAATATGCTTCTGACAAAACGTATCGTGCGTACGTTTATACAACGCACAGCCGTATTCACGTCTAGAGAACTTTAACAATTATGATTGCAGTTGTAGCGTCTGTAGATTATGGTCCTCACATATTCGCTGCCGGCATGCAGAATCGCCTTTGGCTGTTGCTGCTAAAAGTTCGAACAGCTGAGCTTCAACCTCTGGATCATCAAATCGAGCTGGTTCTTCGCATGTTTGTGCTCGACGGAGTCGTAGGGGCACCTTATCAAGTTATAGTGAACATAAGAGAGAAGCCAGCTCCGTAGCTTTCCTCATACTGTATATTCTGTGTAATTAAGATATCGATGCACTTGCGAACTTGAGGCCAGATTCTGGATTTTGGTCCGGTTTTCAAAATAAAGGGTCCATTAGCGCTAATTCCACTCACTTGAATCATACAAAGATCAACATACGAGTAACTTTATTACAGCTTTATACTCTGACGCAAATACGAAGGAATTGATCGCTTTAGCCACTTCATTATTCGGAACACCCAACGAACTCCAAAAGAGAGTAAGAGCAAGCCAAAAAGAGCAGAAGGATAAAGGCGGGGAGAGAAGTGATTACAGCAGCATTCTCTGAAGTGTGCCGAGGCATGGGACATCGAAGACGGGCAGGGAGGAAAGCATATTCTCCGAGTTTCAAGTTTGTCCTATTGTGTGAGCACAGTCAAATACGACAGCGTTCCTACGATCCGCAAGTCACTGTAAGATGACAAACGCACCATAGTAAAGGACAGAATATAAGAGCATTTCTTCTGCGGAAGTTCCCCTCGTTAAAGATCATCCAAGACTGCGTATCAAGACTGAATGCTGAGCTTTTCCATAGTGCATAATGGAGACGCCCATGATTTGGAAGAAGCCTTTGTTCAACTCAAGATTCTGTTATGGAGCACACACGCCACGGCATTCATGAAACTGCTCATTTTTTATCTTTGCGATGAGTCCACTTCTCGATTTAACTCGATCTCCGACTCCAGATCTAGCATGCAAATCGCACCGGGAGATTCACGAAAAAGCTGCTATGCTGGATACATTACTCACGAGCCTCAGATGCCGCTAGTTCTGTAGAGCAAAATCGAGCTATTGACTTCAGTACTCGTTGCAGCAGCACCTTGGCTCTTCTAGCTAACTTTGTGCTTGCACGTCCGACTCTGTCACTGAGCCTCCAGCCCCTTCCAGTCACCATCCGTTGGCCGCATGAAAAGAGGCCGTCGTAAATGATCGACCGGTTGGGGATTTTGCCACCAGCTCATTCACACACTCGAACAGAAGCTCGGGGAGTGGATGAGATTTTCTGCACAGCCTCAAACCACAGCAGAGCTGAATGGTAAGCCACACACATTCAACGCAGTCTGCTCTCCTCCTTTCTTCCGCTAAGAGTCCCAGTCCCAGTTCCAATAGAATTCATTCTCAATGAGGCCACGATTCCAATCAATACGGTACGAAACGGGAAGCTGAAGGCGAGCAGCTGCAGCTGCCACTGTGATTACGTTGTCAATTCCATCACTTGCTCAACAGATGCATCGAGCTAGCACCGAAGTCCTCGAGGGAGCGCTGGTCGAGGAAGCCATGCACGTCCTGGCGGAACGAGCAGTGCTGGAAAGTTAAACCTTTGTAGCTTCGTCTGCCCTTCTCAGACTCTTCCAACGTCAAGTCGTCACACATTGGAGGTTTTCAACTGACCAGAATCATACGTTTCCTCTACTTGTCGGCCTAGCAGGTAGCGCCGCGTGGAAAATGACGACTGTCGGGCAAAGTCCGCTTGCTCGCCACATCTCATGGTCAAGGAGTCATAAAGTTATCAACTTTTAGGCAGAGCTTTTTGAGATCGATTGCTGGTCATCGGGCCATTCTGCAAACGGAGCCTGCAGTTCTGGCAGTTTGCAGTTGATGCACTGCGATTTGCTCGAGGCTTGGTACAGCAGCAGAAGTGTGAGGGTGGCGTGGTTGTAGACAGAGTACAGCACCGGATGAAACATTCACGAAGCGTGCAATAGATGCAGAGGAAGGTGGAGATGAGGAGGAGCCTCTTTCTGGGTATGGTAGCGGGGGCCATAGCGTTCCTGTGCATGCGGTCGCTGTTTGCATTCAACACAGAAGGCAGCGTCTTCATTCTCAGACGGCCGGGCCCTTCGGACTCGGCGATGGATCAGCTGGGCTACTACCTCTGGCCCAGGCGATCGGAAGGCTTCCAGGAAGAGGGCGATCTCGACGGAGTGCCATTGACAGGCCTCTTTAACTTCACCGTCAAGCAGCGCCGGGAATGGATGGTTCTCAATCTGGCCAAGTTTCAAATCCTGCAGTCGGACACCAAGTCCGCAGCCTTCCCCAAACGAGTGGAGAATTTCTTCCAGGGCTTCGGAGCCCAAGACGACCTCGACGGCGATGGAGCTCTTAATGAAGAGATGTCGGACTCGACCACCGAGCAGCAGCAGGACCAAGAGACTGATCCAGAGACCACCATGCACGCTGATGGAGGTGGAGCCGCTGCTGCTGCAGGCAACGGGACCAGGACACCGGAGTACGAGTGCGAGATTCGCGTCTTCACCATCTGGATATGGCCCGTGTCTCAGTTCGGGCCTCGAGAGCAGCTGTCTCTGGAGAGTCTCTTCAAAACGCACCCGATGGCGTGTCTGGTGATCCTCTCACGATCTTTGGATGGCGAAGAAGGAGAGCAGGTGCTGCAACCTTTCCTGGACCAAGGGTTGAAGCTGCTGGCGGTAACGCCCGACATTCCGCTGCTGTTCCAGGGCACACCGGCCGCCGGGTGGTACGAGAAACTGATCAAGGGAATGCTCGATCCGGGCCACATTTCTCTGAGCAAGAACCTCTCAAATCTGATGCGCTTGGTGGCGCTTTTCAAGTACGGCGGCGTGTACCTGGACAGCGACGTCGTCGTGCTGAGGAATTTCTCGTCTCTGGGCAATGTCATCGGGTCGCAACAGAGCGACGCGCACGGGAACTGGACCGTGCTCAACAACGCCGTGATGAAGTTTGCGCGAGGCCACCCGCTCATGGCCGAGTGCATATCCGAGTTTGCCCACACCTTCGACGGCAATCGATGGGGCCACAACGGGCCCTACCTCGTGACTCGAGTCGTGAAGCGAGTGCGTAAGAGGTTCCCTCTGCTGGGCCCGTGGCAGTGCGACGTCTTGCCTCCGCTGGCCTTCTACCCCGTGGACTGGATTCACATTCGCTCGTACTTTCTGGCCCCTCGCAGCCACTCCGACAAGCTGCGGCATCTTGCGACCATTCATCAGCTGCAGACGAATTCTTACACTCTGCATCTGTGGAACAAGGAGACTCGCGGCTTCGCGGTGCAAAATGGGAGCATTCTCGACACCATCTTCAGGGATCGGTGCCTGCTGTGCGAGGAGACCACACTTTCGGCAGCTCTTGCATCCCAGGAATCGAAAACGTAATGAACCGAGCAGATAGGTCCGTAGCTGAGGACAGGATGCATAGGGTGCTGATACCGGTCCTCGTCCACCTCCACTTTCCCATCATCATCGTCGTTATCATCATTTGCGGCTCCGTATCAATAATCATGGGGTTCGAAGGACAATCAAGAATGATGCACAGGTCTGGAAGATTGGTTTTCTCGCTCGTAAGACGCAGGCCCGGCAGAGGTTCCGATTTGCACTTAGACACCAATTCCACGACTGTTGCTGCTGCTGCTGCGGTGCAGATTCCGTCGCCGAAGCATGACTGGAAGACTGATGTCTGAGAATGCAACATTTTGCCGCAGTGACAACCTGCTCTAACTCCGGTTTGTTACGATGGATAGACGAGACGAGGCCACACAAAACGCAGAGCTCAATCATGGTCTGTGCCTCGCATTACCAGAATTGCAATGTTGGTATCAGGGAGGAGCTCCCGCGTGCATGAAAAGCTCCAGACGGCTGAATCGTCGAGGACAACTCATAAAGCAAAAGTGCATGGGAAAATTCAATCTGTCAAAGTTCAGAGAGCAACACACGTCGTATATAGCCCACGCACACCTTACGCTACCACGCCATCCTGCGGATCACAAATGGTGATTGTTGGAGTCGGCCGAGATGTGGTATCATGAAACCTTAGTTCCAGGGATGCAAAGCAATGCCGTCCTGTAAGTGGGTGTGATTAAAACATTTGAATCTCTTCCAAATTGCACTCAGATCCTCGCCTATTTCAACTCCTATCGTATTCTCGTTCCTTTCATTTTGTAAATCATTGAACTACACTTGCCGTAATTATAAATGACAGTCCTGTCGAAATGCTGGGAGCTGTCACCACTGGGTCTTGCACACGTATCGATATGCCGGTGACTTTGGTGGTAGAGCCAGAGAAGGCTCTGGCTCCCCATCCTGAAGTTGTTACGGAATCCTTCCCGCGGATAATTCAGAACGAATTATTAGTGTAGAAACTTTTATAATTATAGACCAACTTTACCAAAACAAAACTTTTCGTCCATTTGTTTATAATTATAAACAAATGGACGAAAGGTAAAATACATTACAGCAGAGGAAATATTTTCCTTTCGTCCATCAAAGTTGTGAGAAATATGAACGCGTTCTAGCGTCCATATTTGACGTGGTAACAAGGAAAACTTCGAGGATGCTGTCCACCCAAGACCATACATCCTGATAACAGTGAAACGATGCTAACTAAGAGGCAGAACTATGTATCAAATAGAATGTGGGTTCTGATGCCAATACGATGACAGATATGTCATGTGCAGGAAATATGTGAAAACTTAGAGCGAGCCCTGGATGCGAGCACCAAGAACTCATGTTCGAAGTAGACATACCAGGAATGGCTTCATGCAGAGGGAATATTATAGCTACAAACAGAAACGGAATATATCCTTTCAGACATAACTGATTGTGTTACGTTTATGTTTCGTGGGGTCCACTACGAGGCAGAGGCGTCCGCATTCGAATCTTTTTGGGGTACGATCTCGCTCTGCATCTAACTGACAACATCAGGTCACTGCAGGTCAAGGGCTTCAGCAGAAAAGAAAAGGACGAGGAACATTCCATCACATGAACGGTTTCGATAGCATTGCTTCACTCAATATACACTACTAAGCTCAGTAGCCCCGCGTATGACTACTTTCATCTTTTATATGTAGAAGAAAGCACCCTGAAAATTAAAGCCAGATGCAAATTACAACCGGCGATGCGTCTGTTTTGAATTCCATCAAATGAGCTTGTTTCATGCAGCACACTGCTTACATAAAGCTTTCTGGTACTCGAGTCTTCATCTTGAAGCCGGATAAAACGAAGCCGACAAGGTCAAGTTTGGCCCACGTCTGAGTGAAACGCCGTCATCATCAACACGAAGACTGTCAAAACATGACCAGGATATCTTTATGTGGTTCTTGTATGAAGCCTGAGCTCACATCAGCTCTTATATATAGCGTATTGCATGCAACCAGTTGTACACACCAGATGCACATCCACAAACTAAGAGCTATCCCGAGAGAAAACCACCGGATTGCATTTTCATTCTCAACACAGAAGATGACACACTCCCGCTTTGACTAACCATCTGAAGAAACGAACTGTAACACTTTCGTTGATTGGATTGGACACGGGATGGGCTTCCAAGTGTCCCCTCCGTCGAGCACATAGACAGAAGCGTAAGTCGGGAGCCTCGGATGGAGGTCGGAAACCGATCAGGTCTAGTCAGTCTTGATTTGGGGCTTTAAAGTAGGCCATGCAGATCTGAACAAAATCTGATTGTTCGGCTTGAATTTTTCTCGTCGTTTGTATTCTTCATTGTCGTCTTCGTAACATAATATTGGAAGTAATGACGTCAACTCTTTCCTCGACGGTCATAGTGCCATGCTTACCTGGACAATGGACGAGCTTGAAACTCGACCAGATGTTTGGAGCCAGGTACATTCTATTCTTAAGCTCATTGACATCTTCATCCGACACTTTCATCACCCATCTCCCTACGACAAGCACTTTTCGGCCAATCATGATGGCCAAAACACACAACCTTCAGCTGAAACTTGATTTGCATCTCCCTGGCCTAGCCACCGTAACGATGCTGTTCATATGCCGATATTTCGATTTGAGAGACCTGTTATCCTCCTTTAAATAGCTCTCTTGACGATCTACATCGGCACGCTGGGCCATACCTACAGTTTCAGGTTTCCGTATCTCAAAGACTTGCCTCGCTGACAGCTTACTGTCTTCTGCAGCGGCTTGGCCCATCGATCCATCATCTCACAGCAAATAGGAATCACAGTGTGAGACTGGACACTGGTGTTGCATAAGTGGTTATGTCCTGAAGCAAGTGGAGCTCGAACATAATCAAGACAGTCAAGTTTACTAGTTCTCCGAAGGAATTGTGCAAGCTTTCGAGTCGACTCTTTTCACGGAGGTAAAGATGGCTCAGAGATGCCAAGCGTCCGAAAGCCGAAGGCAATGTTCTTAAGCTGTAACATCTTCCAATTACAAGTTTGCGAAACTGCATAGTTAGGTGGTGAATTCGGAAAAGCTCTGAAGATGTCATCCAGCTGTTTGAAGCACAGCAGAGTTTCAATTTTGTAGTCTTGACTTCAGAACCTTTGAACCTTCAAGATTATACTCGGCTCACAGTGGAACGGCTGTAGAATAAAGTTCCTTTTGTAGAGTAGGTAGCGATCTTTGGCACTGACTCAAACGCTGAGTCGATTTAGTTTTGTGTGGATTCAGATATATAAATGAAAAAGCCGGGCTGTTCACGAGAACCCTTACGTGACTCTTATCAGTTACCGGACCTCACAGCTAACAGGACTGAGATCGGGCAGACTGGATGCGAGGTGGGTACAGATTCAGGACTTGTTTCTCCTTTCTTAGCAGAACTCAGGAATCTCTCCCGTCTGAAACTGGTTACTTTCTTGAAACAATCTTTCCCGTGGATAACTTACACTTCGTAAACTCTACATCATTGTAAGTTAAATTTTCGAGGCGTAAGCATACGTCGATCAGTTTTGCTGTTGCTGCTTGCACTAAAAGTACTTGTTTCATGACTCGTGTTGCATTATTGAATTTGTAATAAATCCGATTCGGTATGATTGAAAAGTAAGAGGTTTTGTTCATTATTGTCTTCCATTGCACGTTTTCTCTTGGATTTTGACACTTGATCTGTGCAATAAATATTTGACACAATGTGGTCACCACCAGATATGGTCTAGCTCACCAATTGACTGGTTTAAGGAGTTTCCTTCAGACAAGGAGCATTGCGCTCGAAGTCTTGGTCTGCAGTCAATCCTCTGTTTCGTGAATTTGGCATCTCTATTTGTCACCTCGTTGTGGATTTGACTTGGATTAGCAGGATACATTCAATTTCACATCGGCATTTACTAACAACTCTTCCTCTCAGATTTCCCTCTTTCTTCCTTTCATTTCCCATGTCCCTTTCAAGAGGACCAAAGCACATGGACGTTAGGTGAACCCATGCACATTACTCAGTTTTCAAAGATCCTCGACTGAGCACCTCTGTAAACTGGTGCCCTCTGCTCTTGTGTTAATGAAAGATTTTAAATTCGCCTCAGTGAGTCTTTCCGGACCTGTATTAGAGTAGAGAGGACCTACGTATCCTTCCAAATTCTCCAGTACTGCTCAAGAAGGTTGTCCTCAAAGAACAGGAAAAATAAGAATCACCAAAATTGATAGCAATCATTCTCAAGGTAGACTAGTCAGAGTCCTCGCTTGCCGCATGAGCCCATTGAATATTTTACTACAATGAAGTACAATGATCAAGGTTCTCGATTTAAAAAGCGGTTTTAGGTGATACTCTTCCTTGGGAGTTCACATCCGCTATTTCAGGGGTAACGTCTCCAACCCGTGTGAGCTACTCACCAGTTAAAAAGGGTCATCAATCTGAATAAATATTACAGAAGGCTTGATAGTTAGGCTGAAGTAAATACAAAAAGGTGAATTAATTGTGAATGACCTTGTACCAGGTAAAGAAGGCCAATGCAAAGGTTAAACAAACACTACAACTGCCAGTCAATAGGAAGTTCGCCAGCCTTCTCCAACAATTCGTTTGTCTTCGAGAAGTGCCTACAAGTGGAGACTTTGAATAAGTTCTTGTTTGTAAGTAGTTACAGAAAATGCACACTATCATATTCGGACACCGAACTCCTCACCTGTTGTTTGCTGCTTTGCCTGAAGATAGTTTTAAGCTTTTTAAACTGTAGGCCGGTGTTGGAATACACGAAAAGTAAAAGAACTTAGATAGCAAAAAAACACGTTCGAAATATCCCGAAACCTCACCTGCATTTGAAGAATCCTCTGTGTGCAGAGAGGCCTGATGGATGTGCCGCTTTCAACACGTGATGCTTCTTCGTGTTAATCAACCTGTTAGTAGCAAGTGGAGGTCATTAGTCTTAATTGAAGGAAAATATGAAAGAAGCACAGTTCAAGTTTACGCTGGCAAACAACACTGTTAACCTCATGTGATACTGTGAAATAAATGGGTGTTGTTAGAGGACAATACCTTTCTTTATCCTGAGCTGAATTTCCCCACAACAGGAATACCACTCCTTCCCGCTTCTGTGAGATTGCTACAATGGCAGCATCGGTGAAGGATTCCCAACCTTTCTTCGCATGTGAATTTGCATTGTGTTCTCGAACTTCAACCATACGACCCACAAAAGCCAGTATCAGCCTCAACCAGTGTTTGTAAGGCTTAATGAATCTTCCAAACTTTGCTATTCTTAATTGAAACTACCAAGAAAGGAAAAAATTCTCAAAGAAAAGTGAAATCAAAGTTTATAGACAAGGTGTAAGACGTCCAAAGATAAGATATCAGGATGGAAGCTTCTTGCTTCCATCCTGATATTCAATATTTAAACTCAGAAGTGCCCACATTTGCAGCCGATCTACTGAACTGCTCTGTGGGCTGCGACCGAGCTGCTTGTCATACCTGTAAGCACAGCATTCAGCAAGAGAACGCCCTGCATCACGGAGTTGCCTCCTGTTAGATTCAACTCATAACCAACCGCTATAAATAGGGCATTCCTTTCGTTCATTGCCTACAAACATTTCTGTTACCTTCGATGTCTTCCAACAAACATCTAACGTTGGTTTGAAAATTTTATGAAGGAGCACCCAGAAAAGAGAGAAGCCCGAGAGTAGTAAATGAACGTGATCTTGCGGCACAATTATGGGTTGGATTGCAACTTATAATAATATGAAACAAAATTTAACATGGGGCGATTCGATCCATGTTATCAACATAGTGACCAAACTTAGGTACCTAAGTGCGACATCCCAAGATAAAACTACTACAGACCAGAAACTTATCACATATTGTTATAAAGCGATTTCTGAACCATATAAATGTGTAAATCATCTTACCAATACAAGCATCTACGATGAAAAGAGTAAGTGACTACACAGAGGCAGTGGACCAAAGATCTTCGAGAATCTTATTGTCCCGGTGCTATGAGCAAAGAGAGAATCATTTCACCCACAACGATAAAGAGAAACAACATAATACTGTCAACACAATACAGTAATTACCTGGTGAGCCCACTTCTCAAGGTTCCCGTGAGAGGGAAGTGTACACCCGACGTCATCACGAATCTCCTTGAAAATGTTCACTAAACTTGAGGGAACTTTAACTCCATGAGGGATGGAAAAACATAAACCCATTGCTTGACGAGGCCCGTGATAAGGATCCTGTCGACGCAACAATTCCAAGGATGGGTTAGTCTTTTCTAGCCTGTCACCATCATGGCCTTCCTTTCTCTTGATGTATAAACATTTGATCCACGTTGAAGAATCTAGCAGCAACTCTTTGCGAGATTACCATCTTCATGACTCCATGTGGTATTACAGAAACAATAAAACCTAAATTGTAAGGACAATTTTGAAGGGGCTCTCTGGCCGTGACCAGTGTACATACCTGACCGATTATGACGACTTTCACTTTCTCAAAAGGGCAGGTATTGAAGGCGTTGAATATGAGAGCAGGAGGAGGATAGATGGGTTTGGGTCCATTGACCTCTTGCTGAAGGAATGTGTAAAGCGAGGTAAATTTGCTGGAAGAAAAGCTCTCCTTAAGAACGTCAAGCCAAGTCTGATCGACGAGAAGATCTCGCAACTCAGGGAAAGACTTACCTTCGCCTGTGTGACAGTGGGCATGGATGGATACACACATGTCAGTAAAACTAACAATATTTGAAGAAAAGTATTCCTCTCACTATTTTGATCGACCAGACTTCAAGACATGACTCGAATAAGAATCTGAAAACTCGAAGAGGCAGGAAGAATTAACAACGTGCGATGGAGACAAAGAAGCGCCAAAAAGTTGCTACCAGCATGCCTGTACCCTCATCATGCTGGTATACCTGAAGACATTCTACAAGCAGTGGATTGACAGGTATGTCGTGTACCGTGCCTTACCACGACACTTTTCAACATGATCTTCGCAAGCTTTCAAGTTTCTCTTTGCTCTTGCAATGCCCTTGTTTAACTCCATTCTCATCCGCTGTTCCTTGGTCAGATTAGACTCTGTCCCTTCACCGGGACTCACTACATCCTCTCCCTTCGATCCAGATATCGAAGTTCCGTCTTCTGTCCTGTCTGTCTCAACACCTGCATTACTACCATCAGGCGAGTCTTGAGTTGTGGTTTCCGTCTTCGCCTTCTTAGAAATACTAACTAAACCAGGTGCTTCATTGTCACCGGGTTCGGCGGTCGTGTCAAAGTTGCTGATGTGTGCTGCATCTAAGTCTGCGTCCAGTCGTACTCTCTTGGCAGCCTGAAAACATGCGGCAATTGTATTCGTCGGCTTTGGGGTTGTCATCCTGAACTCCTTGACTCTGCAATCCACGGGAGGCACAGATTCAAACGAATTATATCCGCAAATTCTAGACGAAACATTAAACAAATCTGACGACCAAAAGATATGCATATCGCCTATGTAGCTAGCGCAGGAAAGTCATGTGCAAGAGATCAGCATTCAGCTATAGATTCCAGTACTTGTAAATCGAAGACAATCGTAACCATCTCTGAGATAGCTCGAAACATTAATTGGCACACCAAGAAACAACCATGTTCACCCACGAGATGATGTGCGGAGATAAATAACGTTGGAATAGAAATTGAGCTGTATTCTAGCAGAAATCGGTTTCCAGGACGGATGATTGCGCCCAGCTTCAATCCAGGGACATGGATTGAATATCTCAGGTACGAGTAAGAAAGCTATCAGCGCCAGAGAGACAAGCCTAAGAGCAAATTCAGATCCTCGATGCCTCCAAAAACCTCGCACTGCCAGCAGAAGAATCCTACAACCGTCTATTGTTCCCACAGATTTCTCTCATAGCATTGATAGACAACTATCAAATGGTTTTCAAAAGTCATAACGAAAAACAGAAATCTGTCAGAATAAGGAACTCACGTTACAAGCGAGCACCGAGAGAAGGCAAATTGAAGGGCATGTAGGTACGCCAGTTTGGAAAAGACTGCACTGAAATTCTTGAAACAACTGCGATGCAGTTCACAGAAACAATCAAACAAAGTCGAATCTGGTACAGAAATCTAACGCGCTGCCCAAAGTGTGCAATTTTTCATACTTGCCACATGGGACCCACTCCCGCCTCCACGCTGGCGGAGGCGATGCCAAGTAAGCCGCTCGCTCTGAGTAATGTGAGCCCTAACTTCACTTTTCCCGCCATTTTCTCTCACGCTCCCACTTTTTTTGGGAACCTGAGAAATCATCAGAGATTGCGTTGATGCAAATTTCAATTCTTGCAGCCTTTTGTGACTTATATCGGTTTCAACACAGCACAGCACAATTCCCGACTCTCCCTCTCACAATATTTCAAGTCATAGATTGGACATGACTTCTTAAGAAGCAAATAAACATATCGTATTTCAGTACATCTCATAGACAAAATGGATCTCCAGCTACTTTATATTAATTGCCGGTTTTATTTTCAGTAAGACAGGTGGTACCTATCTGCTGTCAGCTCCGGCCGGCCGCCGATACCAAGGTTCTTAAACATCCTGCCTTGTCTGCTCTGCTTATTCTGATACCCTCTTTGCGTTGACTACCTTGATTTCTGGGAAAACAACACTGTATTTACGTTTCGAAGTTTGACATTTGACTCAAGCGTCACTTTCACTCCAACACAATTGAAGCTATGGCGGAATCGACGACATACAAATTCAAGAATCTGAAGTTCTCGCTGACAGCTCATCTTCCGAGGACTGCAAAGGACAGAAATATTCAACTTGACATGGGAGGAAATAAAGAAAGAGAATTGAACAGATTCCTTTTTCGACTAGAGAGATTACTGGATTCAATAGATACGAATAAAAAATACGCTTGGAAATGTTCCCATATTTATTCTAATTTCGAGGCATCTCTAATGTAGCCGAGAATGATTTTGTAATACTTAAGTGTCGAATGCGTCATATCTCGTCTTCAGAGAAAATATTGGAAGTCGGTCGGTGTCGGAAGAAGGAGCAATGCAGAGAAAAGATTGTCGGGTAGCGTCCATAAAACGCAATTACTGTGGATTCTTAACACTTCGAAAAAATCTCGAACTGGGATCAAAGCTGCGTATTGACGTTTCTCCAAAATTTTCAAGCTAATTTGAGGAAGCAAACATCAGGCTTAGAGATCAGTAAGTCATATAAATGAAAGAGAGAGATGCGAAGACGGGGAGTAGAAAGACGGACCAAGACACTCAGAACCGGAACGTTCATAGACGAAAAAGACATCAACATCAAGACAAGACCAAGGACTAACTCGACAAAATACTTGATCAAATGTGCATAAACGACTGCAGTCAAGACTTCCATAGAGTAGTTTCGGATAACATGAGTAAACTTTCAATCATTACTCTGAAGTCTATATAAAATTGCGAGCAATGGATAATTTTCTGGTTAAATACAAATTAATGAAGATGAAGAATTATATAAACGTATGTTGATGACTTGTATTCTTAAATTATTCAAATAAATTATATGAAATGGCAACAATTTTCTCTAGTTCACTCTAGTCATTTTAATTCTTTTCTTAGATAAGAAAATATATTAAAATTTTGATTTTAAAAAACGAATATTTCAAATCCATCAATTTGTCATGTGAGATGAGATATTAAGAATTTAGTTTTGAAATTTTAATACTAGCATATGTCATTATCTCTTTTTTTTATCAACACATGGACTCCATGCTTCCATCTTGAGTAATTGCTAATTCACCTTGTCTTCTCTGCCCTGAAATCTTGACCTTACATTTCTTAGCTGAAGAGTAGAATGATGCGTCAAATCTAGTCAAACTTAAATTTCACAAAGATTTGCTTCAGATTCAAAGATTACATAATTTTTTTTGAATATGCTTCACAATTTTTTGCAATAAAATGTTTGTTTAAATTTTTCAAACAAAAAATTACAATCATCGTATTTTTCCATTTGTTTGAAATAAATGATTGCAAATGTAATATCAAGATATTTCCATCCTTGACTCAAAGTTACATTCGCTGATCATTGTTAAAATGAAAGATTTAGACCTCAACATCTTAGACATATATATACATTATTCGTTGACTTACCTTTTTGAAGGCAAATAATCATCATCTTCATCATATTTGATTGTTATACTAAAGTACTCCCTACTTCAAAATACTTATCTCTATACACCAAATTTTGAACTTGGTCTATGCAAAAGATTTTATTTTTTTACACTTATATAAGCAATTTAAAATGTTGAAACATAAAACTAAATCATATAACACTGAATAAGCTCAAATCTTAAAACCATGAGATGAAAACTTGTTTACGATTTAATTTTATCACAAGAAAAAGAAAGTAATGCTTCAAGATTGAAGAGAATAAAACCCAAAATTAAAATTTTTACGCATTTAAGATATTTTAGAGTCAAAATACACAAGATTAATTTTAATTTTTGGTTTTACTTTAATCTCATGTATTTATTGCACACGACATGTGTGATATGATGTAGTCAAAATGCACAAATCTATAAATATATTTTTATGTCATGAGCAAAATAATTAGATTCAAACAAAAATTGTCTTATTGATTCCATATGATGAATTTCTTCATAATATAACTCTAGCTTAATCAATCCATATGTATTAAATGTAAATCATAAAAAATGTATGAGACTCATCATCTAAATTAAAATATCAAAAAAATGATTTCAATATTAGGCTTTGACACTTTCATTTTGAAAAATCATCAAAAATAATTTGATGATGATTCCATAGTGCTGAATTTTTTACTCTATGGCAAATTTTTTGCCATAATCCAAATAAAAATCTATTACTCCACAATCAATATGGGGCACTTTTGTCAACAAATTCCTTCATATGATTCACAAATATTGAAGCAGATTCTTCAAACCTCATTTTGAATGTCCAACCTAGCACTACACATGGAATGATAAATTGCAATATGTTGCATTTGTATTCCTCCAGTTTGAAAAAATTTGAACAAGTTTTCTTTTTATAACTTCTAAGATTTCTTGAGTGAATTGTTGCATTGCAATTTATAGTTAATATTCTTCATTAAGCTACTTTGGATTATAAAACTTTACAATTAAACTCTTGTCAACTCTAACATTTAAAAAATACACTTATGTTCAAACTTAGAAGATGAGTAGTAAACTTACAAAAATTAAAATTTAATCTTATTAAGATAGAATTGGCAAAACTTTGAAAAAAATAGTCCAATAATTAGATGAACCCTAGAGATTATGAAGAAGATTTACATGTAATAATCTAAGTATAACTATAATTTTATCTTTGCAATCAAAGCAAAACTTCATAAAAATTTGAAATATTATTAAAAATGTATCTTGGAAACATTTATGCAAAGAATGAGACTTTAGCAATCCCTCAAAAAAATAAAACTGTTATTGTTAGTGCAGTTTTGAAAATCTAAATGTAAACATCACATCAAAGACATACTCACACATTCAAAACTATATCAATTGAAATCATATTTGAAATTCAAGAAGTTTAATTTGCAAGCTTTCTACTTTTAATCTTTGATCTTTTCAAAACCTCACAACAATCTTGAAATCAATCAAAACAGGCGCATTTGTGATAAATTACTAGAAAAGTAAAATGAAATTTGCTTTTTCAACATATCTTGATTTTAAACTTTCGAGTAGTTCATTCCATCAAGTTTCAAAAACTCTTACTTATTCTTTTCAAATGGTCTAAAGAACATGTTGAAAATACATAAAACCTTGAAAAAATTGTTTAAAGAACTTTCATTAGTCCACAACGTTCATCAATGAGAATGAAAAATCAAATTTGGCATACAATGAAATTTGAAAATATATATACTTAGAATACACTACTAAGCTTTAATATTAATTTTATAGAGATACAATGTCACAACTTTGAACTGAACATTTATATAAAACTACAAAAGAAAATTTGAAAATATTTATTACTTCAAGAAATATTTGTTGCCAATATTCTATCAAATTAATTTTCTTAGGTTGTCTTAGATTAACATAAATGATAAATAGTATCCAAGTGTTCAAAGATACAAAAGTTGGTAAAGTTATAACTTTAATGTCTCCAAATCAAAAATAAATTATAAAATCTTAAATTGCATTATGTATAACATTAAATTGTAATAGAAGAGTTTATTCAAAAATGAAATACAAATTGTGAAGGTGAAAAATTTCTAAAAGTATGTAAAAATTCCTTAGTTAAAATTCTTTTGTCAAGCACAAGATGATAATATTTAATTTTTGCCATTGATTTCATTTTTAGTGCACTTATAAACCTAAAAAGCACACAAACTGCTACTCTCAACTGATAAATTTACTTTTGATAGTTCATGGGTTGTTGATATGACGGATAATTTAACATACACAAAAATTATTGCTCTCACGTAACTCATTTATTTTTCACTTATTTATGATGTTTGATATGTTGATGTTAATTAACACACAAACTATTATGCTAATCATATGGATTGATGACATAACAATTATATATAGTATATTATAATCAATTTATCTTCAAAATATCTACTTATACAATACAATAAGTGGAATAATGATATCCAAAAATTCTATCTGACTCATAAAACTTTCTTCACAATAGAATACTAACCAAACTTGAAGATTCAAATAGTGATCACACAAAAGTTAGTCATTTTATGTTTTTAGAAGTTCAAATCTTCATAGATACACAATTTCTAATCCCTTCAACTTCATTTTGATATTGCATTAATTTCAAATTACATTAATTTTATGTGTCAGAAGGTATAAAATTTTAGAGCTTTATGAACATGTTGATTCTACAAAGCATCCAAAATATTGTCAAGATTGAATCATCTAGTTGTCATCAGTAAGATTTAATACTCCTTCGCCTAAATCACGCTTCATCTCTAAACAAAAGTCAAGATGACATTTGTAATCATCTTATTCTATTAACGGTGTAAAAACCTAACAACACGACATAAACTTCTCATTCTTCACAAAACAATCAAAGAAACAGAATCAAATCTCCCCTTTGTAAAACCCTTTAGATCCTTTAACCTTAACCATTTCTCACAACTCTCTTCTTTCAGCCATTTTCAATAAACATTGTTCATGTTCAGCAACAAATTGTCTTGAAAAAAGTAACATGGTTGGGTTTTTTGTTTGAACGTGAGATCAAACACACAACCAGTCTAAGGATGACAAATACTATAGCACAAAAATAACAAACCAAGCATTGAACAAGACAAAATGCTTGCAACAATATTGCAAATTTTACGTTGAGTACTATTGACAAGAGATAAATAACTTGTGCATAAGATCTCAAGTAGTTATTAAGCTTTCAAGACAATTATTTTATGTAGAACAAAAAGTGCATTATTGTTAAAATGCATTTTTGACATAAAAAAATATACAAGCTTTACTACGCAAGGACAATTATTTATGTGTGCCAGATCACACTTTTGCAAAATGAAAACTTAAATTTTTTGGAGTTCGAAGCAAATAGAAATTAAATATACATGCAAAAACTTCAGATTTACATTATAATACTCAATATCTTGGGTTGAATGATATTTTAAAAATCATTGATACATTTATGTGACAAAAAATTTCATGACATGAAAAAAATCAAGTGTCTATTTGAATTTCATAATTGATTCAGAGGTTTTTACATAATTAAAAAAATTATACAACATTTTTTCAAAATGATAAGTATTAGTATTAATTTTACATTGATGATTGACAAAAAATAACTTTGTTATATGAAACATATCACTTTAAAATGATATCACATATGTATGTATATAATGCTTGTAAATCTATTAAATATTTTAAAAATATAGACAGTCTATTAATTTATTTGTGAAATTGATAATGTGATGTATGT